CCCTTTTGAAGGAATTGATTGATTGGCGAGTTCAGATGCAGCGAGTTCGTCATGATACCAGGAACCTAGGTTTGTGTCCTAGTTCAACATTATCTTCTTGATTGATTGGTTTGAACGGTGCTTCCATCAATGAAAAGCACTTCATATAGCCTGATGGATTCGAGCTTGTCGTCCCTATCATGTCAAATGATTGTTTTTCAATCTATAGTCACGTGCAACTGCCCTTTTGAAGGAATTGATTGATTGGCGAGTTCAGATGCAGCGAGTTCGTCATGATACCAGTAACCTAGGTTTGTGTCCTAGTTCAACATTATCTTCTTGATTGATTGGTTTGAACGGTGCTTCAATCAATGAAAAGCACTTCCTCTATTATATTAATATCATGATGATATTTTCAGATAATCTGACACCGACCTCTATCAAGGGGTCTTTGAGTGAGCAGTGTGATTCATTTGACAGAAAGCTCTTTTAACCAAGTCAAGAAAAAATATCAAATTATTTGATGCTAATTTTAGATTGACAGCCACATTATCTATCCCCCACCCCCTTCTTTACTTAGAACACTTTATGCATAAAACTCTCATGGTTATTTATTTCCCAAGAATAAGTACCTATATGGTGTCTGGCATTAGCATTGGCATTAACTTCATATTCTTTATCCTCTACAAAAATTATCTTAAAAGGCAAAGGTGAAGAGCTCGTGGAATTGTACCTTTGTTTGGATACCATGGTCATATACTACCAATTTTGATGCCGCTACTTAAAAGGAAAATACGTCAAAAATTAAATTTTATACTATGTCTTAAGAATCAAATTTAAGTCCAAGCATTCCTCTATGCAAAAGATCAATAAAATTAGAACAAATATAGTTAGTGATTATCTAAATTCAAACTTTTTTCTTGATTAATTATAGACAAGTTCAGATCGTGTAAAGAAGTAATAACATGTCATTTTATTAACAAAGAGCGGTATTGAACTCAATAATTGAAACCGTGTTATGAACATTTTACTCGAATTCGAGAAGCTTTATGAAATAATTTAATTTCCCCATTTTTTATAGACATTTAAGTGAAAGATCTTTCATACTCTTTGAGATCAATTATAGGTTACCAGAGCCAAAATTTATGATTTCCCCCTTATATATTGTTTTGTGATTTTAATTACTTTCATGAACTATCAAATAGTATAACTATATTTCCAGACATTTCTAACCTAACCTTTAACTCCCAAAAAAGGGATTTTTATTTTTATTTTTTATTTTTTAAATCAAACCCAAGAAATGAAAAGAAAAAATTGGCTACTACACTTCGAACTCTTTGGATTTGAGTTTGAAAAGTACATAATTAACGATAAATTCAATGTTAACAAATAATATCTGAGTAGCTGTCAAGTTTAATATCATCAAACATTCTTGTTTTTTTTAGCCAAATTAATGTAAGCCTCCATAATTGGAGTTGATTATGAACGCATGGACATGCCTACTTACTTTGAGCCTATGCCTCTAATAATTAAATTTCAAATAAATTTTGATAAAAATTGGTGAAATGTGTGATCGAAAAATTAATAAAGTTGTAAATCTCATTAAATGCAAAATTAAACTTTAATATTTCTAACGATACAAACATGCCTTAAAATTATTAAACTACACCTTTTTTTTTCCTTGTTTGATTTGATATGATATCAAAGTACTAAATTATATTCTTCTATTCCATCAGTACTCATGAACAGTACTGTATTTCTCAGGCATGTAATAGCGCGTGAAAACCAGTCTTTACCCAAGAAACACTCTTACAAGAAAAAGAGAGTTTTTACTATTAAGTTTTTATGGGAGAAATGGAAAGGAAAGAGTAGTGGGAATTTTCATCTTACATAATCACAGAAGAAGAAAAAATTAAGTTGACTATTTTCTTGCAACAATAATAATATTAAAAATAAATATTAAGTGTTCTACACTTGAAATTTGCAGAAGGAATTCAAGTACCCCCACCTGCAATTCTCCCATTTATACATCCCACAAACCCTTCCCCTCCACACACACACGATCCTGAAAAAAGAGAGAAATGGGGAGAGGTAGGGTTGAACTGAAAAGAATAGAGAACAAGATCAATAGGCAGGTGACATTTTCAAAGAGAAGAAATGGGCTTCTCAAGAAAGCTTATGAGCTTTCTGTGCTTTGTGATGCTGAGGTTGCCCTCATCATCTTTTCCAGTCGTGGAAAGCTATACGAGTTCGCAAGTGCTGGGTATATATACCTATAAAATACATACTTATACACATATATAAATCCACTTAACGTTTTAACTCTGCGTGTGCATAAATATCCAATCATGTGTGTAAGTGTTTATATTTGTTTTTCTTGGTATGTTATGTGTTTAGTTATATAGGTTTTCTCCAGATGCATCTAAATCCTTTCCAGATTAAGTGTTTATCACAAAAACTTCTGAAACACACACGGTATGCGTAGTACTTTCTGGTTTCTTTCTTTCTGTCTCTCTAATTTGGTTTCTTAGGTGAAGATTTTTCAGATCACTGCACTTTCGGTTAAAGGAGACCAAGGCTTAGTTTTTTCCAGTGTTCTTCTGCCGTTCTACGTCTGGCGTCATTTGATTTTTTTGTGTTTTTCTTTTTCTTGATTTATTTATTTACTTGGTGGTTTCAAGATTGATGCTTTTTTAGTACTGGTTGTTAATTTTCCAATGAAAGATCGACACGCGTTACTGTTTGATCTGAAAAAAGATGATTGAGTAGAGCTATGGTTTCATTCCAGACTTATCCTAGTCTCTTGGACCTCTGTGCAAGATCTAGGGTTTCTCTCTCCTTTGATTACTTTCTCTCTCTACACAGTCCTCCGTCTCGTTAATGCTTCAAATTTTTTTAGTTACGTATCAGAAAAAAATGAAGCGATTCTTTGAAACTTGGAGAAAAGCTTCAGGCTTTGTCTCCTTTTTTTTTTCATTCTCATATCTTTTTGTTTCTTCATGGGTCTCTGCTATCTCACTCCTTTCCAATCACCTCATATCTTGGTTTTACCTTTTATATACATTTAATACACACTTACATGTATAGATTCAACAATGCTATATTGTACAAATTGCGACGATGATACTGTAAGCAAAAAAGTGGAATTCCTGAGGTTTATAGTTTGTGGACAGATCAAGCATATTTTGATGATACTTTTCTTTCAAGAAGGTCAGTTTTTTCTTGGGCTATATGAGTTTCAGGCTTTTTTTTTTCAAGAATTCTTTTTCAAAAAATATACACTTTGGCGAAAACTTTTTTGGGAGATAGTGGGTTTTTCTTTAGATGAACGAGTCACTACTCCACATGCTTTGATGCAAGTTTTCTCCATCTATCTGATTCAGACTGGTAGATAAGCAAAGAGTATTTTGGTGAAAGTTCTCTCTCTCTCTGATGATATGGTGACTGCATTAGTTTTCACAAAATTTCTTCTTTTCCCTAAGATTGATTTTGTGGTCATCTTGCTTTTAGTGGTTAATGTTACTGTCTTGAGTTTTTAGATGAATCATTTTGGAAAAAGTAAGAATTAGCAAATACAGAAAAAGTCTATCACACCAATAAGAAGTGGCAAGCAAAATGAGGATGGAGAGATCAGAGAAGAACATCTCAAATGTGGCCTTGGATTTGGAAAATTGTGGATCTCATGTACTAGAGAGATGACGCAAAAAGAGATTTTGTTTTGTTTTTCTAATTTTTCTGTTTTATCTCCACCTTCTTTCACCCCTTTCTGTTCAAGTGCCTTTGATTTCCTGCTGGATAATATTTTTTCAGAGTCCCTTTTTTGAAGAAAAAAAATAAATAAATAAAATTAATTCTTTACATATGGTTTTCAGATTTCATATAAGGATACACTAAGATCTAAGTTGAAATATAGTGTTAATTTCCCCTTTGATTTTTGATGCCTGAAGGTGTGATCTTCAATCATCTTCACTTTTCCCTATTTGAAATCATGAAAATATGTTATTCCCACAATCTATTTTCTCTGGGACTGTATTATCTAATTTCTTAAGAATAAATTAATATTTTTGGTTAAATATTTAGAAGCAGCATAAATATTTTTCCTGTACATCATAAGAGGAAGTCCCCTTTTTCACACAAGTTCATGTTTAGTACTTAAATCGTAGGCAATAATCTATGTTTATTCCCATTTCCCTTTGGCAACAGAAGCTTGTTAATTTAAGCTTCTTTTACTAGTTACTAAATTGAGTAATTACGGAAAATTGTTTGTGATTTTAATTAATTCAGGTTTGTAAGAATACTTTTGTATAATTGAGCAATATTATAAAGATATAGGCCAAAGTAATCTGAAAAAAAATATATATATATATACTGCATCTTCAATTATCCAACTTTTGTCATTTAAATTTACTTTTATCTCCAAGTATACCGAACACATCTTCATTTGGATTCATTATGTACTTTATAACAACTAATATTTTTTTCTCCTTACAGCATGACTGCAACCCTCGAACGCTATCAGCGTTGCTGCTTTAATCCTCTCAACACTGGCGCTGAAAGAGAAACACAGGTTTGAATAGTTAAATCCCACTCTCAAAATAATATTCCACTAGCAATTCTGATATATTAACATGGACAATGAAACTCAAAAGTATTCATTAAGTTAAGCACCCTTAATTCTTGATAACATTTTGTTCATGGTGTCAATGCAGAGCTGGTACCAAGAGGTCTCAAAATTAAAGGCCAAGTACGAAGCTCTTCAACGCACTCAAAGGTCATCCCAATTCTTTTTTACCCTTTATATGTATTCATATTCAAATTCGGGAATGTTTTATGAGCTAGACTGGATGTAAATCGATAAGATTAAAGGGGAAAAAAAAACAAAATTTATGTTTGGAATGGTCTATTTTATTTGCTAAATCGCGAGTGAGATTACCAAACATGCTATTAGTATATTTGTGTGCATGTGCATGCCTTCTGCCTATTTCTTTTCTTGATAGTGTTAGGATTTCGTTGTGCTCGGTTTCTGAGATATTCTTACGGTGAGGGATGATAAAAATCAACAGCTCTCGTTGTTATTTTCTTAGTGTTGGTCCCAAAATGTGTTTGAGTAAAATATGAACAATCAAAAGTATTTGCACAAACAATAATCGATCCATATGTTCACTGTTTTAAACGCTACTAACCCATTGAGCATCTACAAGTAGATATTGCTCCAGATCAATAAAATCAGCCAAGAACAGTGTTCGTACAAGTATAAAGAAATCTTTCTTTGTTTTCTCTCACCTCACAAAGATGATTTACCATAGTAAACCTCACTCCAAACTCACTAACATACACTCAGTACATTAAAGAAATCACTAAAGATTACATGAGAATGAATAACAGAATGGGAGAAAAACTTGAGACAGAAACCTATACCCTCAAAAGTCTCGCACAAAAAACTATGTGAAGAAAAAGACCAGAGGAACGCTTTTAATGGCCAAAAAAACCCACAGATCCAAAGTCCAGTAATGCTCCACGTGTAAGGCCAGATTGCACCAAAACCATAAGCCCAAAGTCGCAATTTAAAGGAATGCACCTTATAAACATATAAGTAAAAGGTCTCATTCAAAAATCCAAGTCAAAATGTGATCGCATAATCCAATTTTCAACACTTAATTAGTACGTATAAGTGTGTATCCTAGATTATTATGAAGTTTGAAAATGATATTCTTGAATTTGGTTTATCTATAATCTTGAAGGAACTTGCTTGGAGAAGATCTTGGGCCGCTAAATGTAAAAGAGTTGGAGAATCTTGAAAAACAGCTCGAAGGAGCTCTTACTCAAGCTAGGCAGAGGAAGGTATGATTCAATGAATTTATAATATCTCATGATTTCTATATAGAAGAATTAATCATATGGTGAAGAATTGAAGGAATGTCACCTTCCTCTTCTTATTTTTTTTATTTTTTTTACATCTAAGGTTGAACTATAAAATGTTACAAGTATATTACTGGACAAAGGAAAGGAATACCATTTGAGCCGAAATTTTTAAAAGAAAACGAAGTAAAAAGAAAAAAAGCAGACATCTTTGATATTCATATTCTTTTTTCAGGTCATTATAAAATAGAAATTTGCCTTGATTCCTAACTTATACATTGTTTAATGATAAGCATGAAGTTTCAAATAAAATAGAAGAAATAGTTCAAAAAGAAAAGAAAATTATGCAAAAGTACATATGCTTATGTTTGAATCTCCTTTTTTGCATGAATAAGCTTCATCAATTGTTTACCTAGGGAAGCAAAAGGAAAGGGATAAAAAAAATGGGACTAGCCTTCGGTTATTCGTTGTATATGAGAGAAAATTTTCCTAATTTTTCAATCCAGTAAAAAATTAAGAGAGTTTTTCCCCTTCTGGTACTCTCTCAAATTTGGGAGATACAATTTTTTGGACAATTATTAATATGATTTCTGGTTTTTGTTGTCATTTGCAACATAATTTGATTTATTTTATATCAGTTCATTATGAACTAGGGAGTGGTACATTGATTATTATTTATCTCAAGATTTAATTATCTTCTTCATTATATTTGTGTATTATTAATAATTAACCCCGTGGGTACGGTTGATGTGCTAAAGACAATTTAAGTAATTAAGTCCGCTCTATGATAACTTAAATTTTAGACGAAATAAAGCACCCAAATCATGTTTTCAAATTTCAGTGCCATCAAATGAAAATTGTGCAAAACATTTGATATAACAAAAATAAATCCGACTTATACTTAAATGAAGTCAAAATTAAATAAAAATAAAGAGGCTCCCTCCTTCCCCTCCCCATGTAATAAGTTTTTAAATGATGTAACTAACGTTTCTCGTAGAACATGAAGTTTAGTTTCAAGAATGGAACTTCTTGTTTTTGTGAAATATCTTAAGTGTTAGATTCACATGTGTTGGGATTTTGTCACCCAACCGAGATATTATGCGGAAATCGAAACACATATAATCAGAAAAACATTAAACACAACACCCAAAAATGGTCACCCAATTCGACAAAGTCTACTCTGGAGGGTTCAAAGATAAGAGCCCGTCACCATGTGCAAAAACCTCCCAAAAGAGAATAAAAGTTTGAAGTACAACAATTAGACCGTCGACTTTATAATAGATCATCGATCTTTAACATATTTCACAATACTCTATGTCTCATCGACACAAAACCCATACACGAGTGTAGTATAGCACTTTATAGTTCAACATTGACCCAAAAAAGGCCCCAAAACTTTGGGAGTTATTATCACACATATACACTTTCTTGGGTTCAATTTCTTTGTAATTATTAAACCAAAATTTATTAGGACATAGAGAATGTACACCCTAAATCCAAGATCAAGTCCTTATCAACTTCTTCATTAGATACAGTTATAACAAGTAGACTGTCTAACTTAGAACCTTATTCAATTCTCCATTATTTTGATCCTTTAGTTTTTTCTTCCATTCAAAGCAATCTTGTTTAAAGTGGCCTAACTTCCCACAATGGTAACACTTCTTATTGCTTCTACCTCTTGATTTAGATCTAGTTTTAGATTTCAATTTAGATTTTCTATTGTTGAGGTTATTTTCCTTCTTCTCAGTTCTTCATCTTACAAACATACTTCTTCTCTTGTACTTGTTCTAGATTCTCTCTTGACCTCCAATTCTCGAGATCGTAGAGCATTAGTGACAATAGTTTGTGTTAGCTCATCTTTTGAGTATTTTATCACATTTTTTACATTCTTATAAGAATCAAGTAGTGAATTAAGAAGAATCATAGCAAGATCTTCATCCTCAAATTTCTTATCATAATGAGCAAGACTTATTACTAGAATGCGAAAATCACTAAAAATTTGCTTCCAAGCCCTTCTCAGGGTCAATTTTGAAACTAAACAGTTTCTTTAAGAGGTAGATCTCAATGGGCTATGTCTTAGTTAGAAACAAAGCATCTAATGCAGTCTATAAGGCTCTAGAGGTTTTATGATCTTCTACTTATCTTATGATGTTATCAGATAAGTACAATATGATAGAACCACATGCCATTTTATTTATATCTAGAATTCATGAGGCTTAGCTTTCAATTCAGCGGAAAAAGTTTTAGGATCATCCTGGGCTTTAGCAAACCTTTGTTGAACCAATATGGCCCTCATTTTCTACTTCCGGATGGAGTAATCCCTCTTTCCATCGAATTGTGATAATTCGACCTTCCAATCCACTGCAGGTTTTGTAAAAGAATGGCTATTACTCGTGGAAATTAGTTATTTTTAATATGACAAATCACCTAAGTAGCAGAAAAGGTCTTGAAAAATAGTTTTGCGGTTAATGACAAGTAAGCTAATCTGAAAATGAAAAACAACAGTAATATAATATGCACAAACTACAATAGCAACATGAAGAATCGATTTCAGATTTTTTCTACATATGGTTCCAATCAGTCAAGGTAAAAAACTGAAACCCTAAATGTGATCCTATTCCTATAAAACAATTTATTCAATTCTCGAATAAATCAAATCACAGTATTACACATATTAAATCATGCAAATCAATTTTGGTAAACTTGTATTGGAACAACCTCACCAAATATTGTGTATAACAATATTAAATCCAATTCCAGTGTTTATTACAGAACTGGACACCAAACCCTAGTTTCCAGAAAACTCCATTCAGTTTTGAGTTATTGAACAACACAGATCAAAAATACATCAATACGTCAAAAACTTAAATAAAATTCACAGATGCCTTGCCCACACCTTACGAGGCTCTGATACCAGCTTCGTTGGGATTTTGTTACCCAACCGAGATAATATGCGGAAACCAAAACACAAATAGTACGAAAAATAGTAAACACGACACGCAAAAATGAACACCCAATTCGGCAAAGCCTACTCTGGGGTCTCAGAGGTAAGAGCCCGTCACTATGTGCAAGAACCTCCCAAGAAAATAAAAGTTTGGAATACAACAATCAGACCATCAATTCAACAATAGATTATCGATCTTTAACAGATCTCACAATAATCTATGCCTAATCGACACAAGACCCAGACATAAGTGTAGTATAGCACTTTAAAGTTCAACACTGACCCAAAAAAGCCCTAAAACTTCCTATCAAGAACACTATACACAACCAACACTCCAGTCGGACTTCACAGTAGAAAAAGGGCCACAAATCAAGACCAAAATTATCCGAGTATCGAAACTCTTTTCTGTTCGATAATTTAGGGACAAGTTATGGAGTACATACATGGAGTTTTTTCTGTTGTATTATGTTTGTGGTTATATATCTTTTTTGTTTGTTAAAACAATCTCTGGTGCATAAGTTATGTACAACGGTTTTAGGTTTCTCTTTTTACTTCTTCCTCCCTACTTGTTTCATGACTGTTCATTACGAGCTCCCGCAGCTTTATGCTGATTTTCTGTACTATTTTCACCGGAAAATGCAGACAAAGATAATGATGGAGCAAATGGAAGATCTCCGCAGAAAGGTATTGCTCACTTCAAGTTTATCATATACAGTACATATATATCTCAGTCTTAGACATATATTTGAGGTCTGGCATCTAAAAATTCCCATTATCTAATGGCAGGAGCGGCAACTGGGAGAGATGAACAAGCAGTTGAAGATCAGGGTTTCCCTAGAATTGTCATCGGTATTCATAAATAATGAAGTATTTATCAATAAAATTATAACTTATCTTTTGTGTATAAATAAGCAAAATTGCATTTGTTCATCTTTCGCAGCATGAGACAGAAGGACAAGGTCTGAGAGGGTTTCCATGCCAGTGGAATGCAGCTGCATCAGCTGGCACTAGCACCTTTATGGTCCAGCCTGGTTCAAACCCTATGGAATTTGAACCAGAACCTGTACTACAGATGGGGTATACATTCCCTTTCCCCTCCTCTCCCTTAATATTCAGGAATTCCAATAAGAAAATTCTGATGAATTGGTGTGCATTCTTACAGGTACCATCACTATAATCTTGGAGAAGGGTCTTCTGTTCCAAGAAACATGGCTGTTGACAGCTTTGATCTGTTTTAGCCATTTTATCTGATTTTAAATGCCTTGTCTTTTATGATTTGAAACACCAGTCAGCATGACTTTTAATGTTTATGCATAAACTGCAAATATGTACGTGCTTTTGCTGTTACGCTTATATATAAATTCCATATTTTGCTATCACCCCTACGTCTTGTATTGAATGACATATAGGCATTACTCCTCTGTCAATACCTCGTCAACATCAAAATCTAACATTAAAAGCATTTCCAATGACGGTGTGAAATTGAGTGTAAATTAATATCTCCAAAACCATTTTTACATTCTCATTTATATCTTGATGGATTCAAATTTAAATTTTTCTCTAACGAAAAATTTTAAATCCACCTTTTAGTTCTTGTGGATCTAAAAATTATATATATAAATTTGCATCTTTTTTATATTTTTTGCAGGAAAATGCAATTTACATTTCCTTCGCATCTACCCATTGGGAAAGCTTTCAATCAATTCAGAGATCTAAATCACAATTTAAATCTATTTTACATCACAAGTTGAGATGTTCTAATCACTCTTTGAATGTTGAAAATGTGAATATTCACCTTAAAATTTTAAGATTATGCATGATTTAAGCATACATGAAGAGGATAGAGATAGTCATATTTGGATTCACTCTGTGTAAACAAATATTATATCTCACTTGACCTTGTAGTTAGAGGATGGATAGATTTTTCTTGGTTTGGTGCTTTGCTTTTTAAGAGGATCAACTTTTCTGTGTCATTAGGATCCACTAAATGTTTGATAAAAAAAAATTTCAAAACCGTCGATATGCTTATATACAATTAATAAACCGGATATTCATTAGAATGATAACATTTTTGCATTATAAATATTATTTTTATTCATAGAATAGCGAAATTTATTTTTATTTTGATTTTTATCACAATATGTAGTATTATTAAATTAAATTTTTATATATATAATTGGATAAGCTAAAAGTAGAATCTAAAAAGCCATTTACAACTACTCAAAATCTGCTGTCAAAGGGTAGAGATCATTCTATAATCAGTATTTTAAAACTTACCCGGCACCCAAAATGGTTTCTAATTTGAGAATAAAATATTAGGCTCTAAAATACCTAAAACAAATTGTACTTTTGAGAACCAGAAGTTGAACTCTAGATTCAATTCCAAATGGACCAAATACCTTATAAAATTTATATTATTTTTCCAAGGATGACTTTTTATCCACAAACGTGTATAGAATCCAGCTTTATGATCATGCCAGGATGTAAATCTACTTTTGGTGGCCATACTAAGAAAAAAAATGAAAAAGAAATTCAGGTTTAAGAAGATAGCTGGATAGTCTAGATGCAGTGCCATGTGAGTGCAAGGGGGAAATAAACAGCAGAAGGTAAAACTAGTACTGCAGAAATTAGCACCTTTGAGCATTTCCAAAAGACTTTTAGCCCTGAATTAAAGTCAACTTTTCAATTACATTTTTCATTAACTTTTATTAAAATCTATTAAAATTTTGGTTTTAATCCCTACCAAACATGGGATTAATTTGTAAAGAGTATCTTATATATTATAGAGAGTATCTTTAAATTTAACGAATCAAAATTTTTACACTCTAGCAATATTCTCTATTTTAACTTTTTCTTTTCTTTTTTCAAGAAATATTTATTGATTTCTCCACATATTTTAATATAACACAATTTTTTATAGGTCAATGACTAATCAATTTAACGTTATTTGAATAGTTTAAGAAACAAAATACTGAAATATGTTATTTATTAAATGCAATCATTCTATATTAAATATAGATAGTGAGTTTGACTCTTTAAATTTGAAAGGCTAAATCTCTTAAAATCTATTTTTAAATATTAGCTCTTTAAAATAAAATATATTTTATATTTACAAAATGATTTTTGGGTTTTCTATTTCAAGGGATGAGTGAGACTTGTTCTCATCACTTTTATTACAATCATTTGAGTTTAAGAATCCGTTTGACAGAACTTTTACTTTAATTTCTTATAGAAGAGTTTTCTCTAAAAGACACTTCCAAAAATGATGTGAACCCACATAGCAATAGTAATTCCGAAATCCACAGAAGATTGATCGATGTTTAGGGTTCAACTCAAAAACAATGAAGCAAAAAAATACACAATCATCGACAAACTTGTGCAAAATTGAAAAAATTCCAGATTGTACTCATGAACGAAAATCTTACAACTAAGCAAAAAATTATGCTCATTTTTGTGTATCATGTGCGTTTTCGCGCATACTTCATATTCCTTCTTCTTTTTTTTAATTAGTTTAGGATCTTCTCTTCTAATTAATCCATATCACTCTAGAACATGCAATGGAACCTCGTGAGCTCACTCTCCATGATTCTCGTCATTCACTCTCTTAAAAAAGATTCGCCTTCGAATCTTGATATTGAAATTGAATATATTTTTCTACTTGAATTTTCTTCACCTTTTTTCTCAAAGTTTCTTGATTTTTTTCTTGACATCTCTTTGCTTTTCTTTTTTTTTAAGCTCTTTTTTTTTTAACTTGAAAATAAAAAGAAAAAAAAATAAAACCAGATTTTAGAGCCAAAGCTCTAATACTAACTCATAAATTATGAGAATCATGAAGAGCAAGCTAACAATGATTCATTGCATGTTCCAGAGTTATATCGATCAATTAGAAGATAAGATCCTATTAGTTTAATGATATTTTTCGTTATTTATAGTATTTTTGTCTTTCAAGACTTGTTTGGGAGTTTTCTAATTTATTTAAATTTGTCTTTAGAATTAGAGTTTTTTTTTTTTTATTAGGAGCTTATTTTACATCTATAAAAAGACATATTCATTGTACAATAAAGATATTAATTTTTGAGAATTAATCATAATGTGAAATTTTTCACTTTCTATTTTGCTCTTAATTGAAGAGAACTTATGAAATATTTTCAATATTTATAACCTTCAAACTATCCAAACTTATAAAAAATTCATACTCTTTTGACGTTCAACAAATTCATAGCAAAGTTCATAATTTTTATGATCACAAGATCAACATATAATCGACGATTATGTTGGTTCTTTGATCGATAAATTATTGGGCCAAGCTTCAATCCAAGATTTTATTTTTAGCTTTCTTGGGAATATGATTCAATCTTTTTGCGGGTTTTGGAGCTACTATTTTTATGTGGGTTCACATCTAAAAAAATTATTCAAATACGTTGAAAAACAACTTCTTGATCAGATTTTAACCTTTTGAACGTCCTACAAAATGAACCCAAAGTAACACATATCCGGCTAAACATAATGTAAACGAGCCAGCTAAAGACATTAATACTATATTAATATGGCAATGCAATCAGCACTCCATCCTTTGAAATTGTTATTATAGGATACAAAACTTGAATGAAAAATGACAAAATTTCAACAACTGTACCACAATACATTTCAAATGCATAAAATTACACCCCACAATCATTCATAAGTCAAAACTTTTGAGCATTACTCGTCATCCATCGATTAAACACCTCCACTAACCTATCTATGATCAGCTATGGACAAACCTGTGTACCACAACCGGGGAAAGAAAAGTGCTATGAGCAATGGATGTCTTCTCAAGCAGGAGACGAAATCATCTTCACTGATTTTTCCATCGCCATCCACATCGAATAAACTATGAATCCCAGAGATCTGCAAATCTCAAATAGAGAGAGTTTGAGCAAGAAAGAAATAGATAATTATAGAAATTACATACTACTTAAAAACTATAAAAATTATGACTTCTTTGAAAATCTCTTTTGAGTGCTGGTCTATGCGTTCCAAAAACGATGAGAAAGAACTTGACTGTATTTATAAAGAAAAAGAAGTAAAAATCATGTACAGATACTTCCTGAGCCCACCTCATCTTCACCCATGTTTGGGACTGCGAGGGTAACTGCATCTCTTAACTGTTACAAAGCATTCAGAAACCATGAGACTATAAGTTAAACATTGATGAGGTTTCAAGGACACAACGAGAAAATACATGCATACCTCTTGCTTCAAAATGCAATTCTTCCCATCAATGTCACATTCAGTAAATGCTAGTTCACAAGCTTGTTTGAAGAGTGGCTGCTTCAAGATGTGGGCTGAGCCAAGCAGGAACTGAAACAACAAACACAAAATGTAGCGCAAGTATTGCATGGTTAACCATTAATCTCAAGACATAATAAATTGTCCCTTAATCTCAAAATTTATCTAAAAAGCTGAAACAAAAATCTGAGTATGGACTTCTTTTTTGTAACTTTCGCACATTTCCTAATAATGTATAGGTGTCTCTGAGAATATTAAGACGAGTGGCACATAATATCACTAGTATGCACAAATATGAACACAGAAGTACCAAGTTACCTGCTAATGTTATTTTACCCATCTTCTCCACATCAATGAATCCAAATATCTGCAAAATGAGGGAATGAGGGTTAAGAAAATTAGTAAAGATGCAGTGTCATTAACACAACTGGAAAACAAAGTTCAGCGTCCAATGAATCTGCAAGCCTAGGCACTGAAAAGGCAACTACTTCTATCACTGAAATAATATGATCTGTTTGTGTTACATGGTCAAATTTAATACTGATCCTCTTTGCCAAAGTCCTAGGATAAAATCTATACTAAGTCCTAATAAAGCAAGTACTAAAATAAGAAAAAACATCCTTGAAACACCCAAAAAAAAAAAAAAAAAAAAAAAAAAAAAAAAAAAAGAAAAATGAAATTATGCAAAATTTATTTTACAGATCGCAATATGGATGAGTGCTATGAGGTACTCAATATGGCCAAACTGAAAAGACAACAAGGAGGCTCGCATGGAAAGGGTAAAGGCTGGAGACCACCTTACCCAATTAGATAAGAAGGCTAATAAAAAAAAAAACATGATACGGACGGTTTTCAAGCCAAATTGCTACATATCAGACTGACAAGTTTTATTCCATTTTCAACTTGATTGTTGGCTAAATTTTAGTGGTGGATGTTTTTAATGTGTTTATTAGTATTGTTTTGTAAAAGTGGTGAGATGGTGACAAATACGGAAAGATTCATTAGATAAAGATATTGGCGTGGGTTGAGAAGAAAAGACGGAGGAAAGGGCAAAAGAGTCAAAACATAAGGAGAACGTATGAGTGGTGCCACAACGCCAAACGAGAAA